TGCACATGATTTAGCACATTTGTGTTTAAGTATTTGTATCTCCATTGGTATCTACAAAACTTTATTTAACTGGGTATTGGAAATAGGACTTGTTATTGGCTGAACTTCAGTGATACACCAGTATGAGGAGTTCTAAAAGAGAAATCACACAGTAATCAAGAAATGGAAACATAATTAGAGTAATTATAGCAATAAAATAGGCACCTTTTTTTTTTAATATTAAAGTCATTATATAAGTGTTTGCTTTATTCAATTTACAAATTTATAACATAAGGGAAACAAATGGTATACTAAAAATAAGGAACAAAAAGTTGTTTTGTTTTGATTTAAACAGCCGGACATTTTGGTTTTTATTGGAAACCAACACGAAATGTGTAGGGGAAAAACATAATTCTATCGTTCAGACCTAAATGTTGTTCCAGCGAGAATAATGGGATTGGTTCAGCATTAGGCATTAAAAGAAATTGTAACTTAGAAACCAGCTCGATCCCGAGACAAAGAAATTGGAAGACAGGAGAAGAGCGAGTTAGTTCTCATTCAGTAGTCAATCAAGACACGAAGCTCAGATCTTTGTCATCCCCCACTCCCTTTAGTCTTTTTATCCTTTTTGGTGTCTATTGTCAAAACAAACCCCCTCCTTCCAACCTGTTATTGTCTTCTTTTCTACCTTTTTCACTTTTTGTCTGCTTTCAAAATACTGTGGAAAAGTCCTCTCAGCCAAATGACACCCCCATAACACCCAACCAAAAAATAAAATAAGGACCTCTTAAGACATCTATCTATCAAATGCTGTTAGCCTGAAGGGTATCTTCCCTTTTAAAAAAAAGTGTGCAGGGTTTAAGTCCTGATTGGGATATGGGTGCATATATAGAATCATATATTATCTCCTTTTTTTCTTTAACACTTTCTCCCTCTTCTCGTCTACTCCTCTCTCTTCATCTACTTCTTCCGTCTCTGTATCTTTTTTTTTTTTGGCTCTGTTTTTTCCTTTCTTGTAAACAGTTTTTTTTTGGTTTTATTTTGTTAACGGATTTATTTCTTTTTGTGCTCTGTTTTGCCATTCAAAAAAACAAATTCTGCTTTGCCTTTCAAGAAAACAAATTTGTGCTCCGTTTTATGATGGTTGGATGCTTGTTTAGTTGATGGATTTACTTTTTTATATTTGATATTAATTTTAGAATATTGATATGACTTGTGAGATTTGAATGTTTTATGGTAGTTTATATTTTCAATTGTGCGCCTCACTTCACTCAGGCGCGCGCCTCGCGCCTAGGCTCCAAAGGACCTCTAGCGCCATGGTGCACCTTGGGCCTTTAATAACACTGCCCGATTTTTATAGCTAAAACTTCCTAGCTCTTGAAGTTGCCCAAGTCGTCAAAACACTTGTGATCTCTGTGGGTGTATTCTTCACAACTTGAAGTCAAAGCATTAACTTCCAAACATACCTCTAGTTATTGCTATTATAGATTTTTCTGTTATATTGTTAGTTCTAAATTCTAATCAACTTTGGTCCAAGAAACGGCATAAGCAACAAAATGGTCATTGGGATGCAAGCTAGAAGAGACGAGGACTGCGTTTAAATTCGTTTGTTATTATTTATGCTTTATACTACTTAATTTTATAATTAAGCTATTTATATTTGGCAACATAGAAGAAAACAAATGCTTCTCCATCATTCTTTGAGGTTTGTGAGTCTTCTTATGTTTTCACCTTTAAAAATTGTAATTCCATATACTTGATTGTTTTTATTTTTTAATTTTTATCCTTTTAGGTTTTTCATTTAACCTTAGAATATCATTGACTAGGTTACTGAACAAACTTATCGTATCACCCAGCACAAAGAAAGTTCAGTTATAAGAGAAAAACAAATCGTTACTCCAGCAATATATATATATATATATATGTATGATGTATGTATGTATGTGTACAAATTTATCAAGCTGCAATTATCCATTATTTTTATGAGCGTTTCTGCTTTCTATTTGGAGCTTCTTCTACATGATAGCCTAATCTACTTTCATGTATAATTAGTTCCATTTTCTTTTTCCATGAAGCGGCACAAACCCATAATCACTTCTTGCACACAGCCAATTGCAAAGAAAGCAAATATGGGAACAGAGCAAATAAAATGTTTCCTAATTTTTTTCCAGATGGCCCTCATTATGGATATACTCTAGCAATATATATATACACACATTTTGCGATTGGGGCTTCCTTTGAAATAAATAACGATGGACAAATCCTCCTTTGTTTTTTATTTTATTTATTTATTTTTAATATAAGTAAGATTGCAACATAGAGCGTTCAGATGGGGAACACATCTTGAGGAAAGCTACACAAGGGCCAAATAGGGCCCTAAGCACCACCACCACTAAACAAAATATAGCGCAAATAATAGAGAATTTTAAAGCCCCAATAGAAGATTCCTCTTCGTCAAAGGATCTTCTATTTCGCTCCCTCCATAAGCACCACCAAACAGATAAGGGCGCCACCCTCCAGAAATCATGGGTTTGAGAGCCCATTACACATCCTCTCTACGTGTCAATCAAACCTCTAGAGGACCGAGGCACAGGGCCGGCCAGATTCTCAAAATTTTGAGAGGCCCTAGGCGAACTTTCAAATGTGAGGCCCTTTATAAGGTTTTGACACGCGCAAAAAATTTATAGGAGTGCAGACTTTTCATTAACATGAGACGATAAACACAAAATATATTAGTGTTGAAAACACACAACAAAATCCGGTCTTGGTGCTTTATAAAGAACACGATCCAGTTTATATCAAAAAATTAAAAGATATATTCAACACAACTAAGTCACAAAAATCAAAATTCAACTTCATATCAAAGTAAATGTGATCATATTGCATTTTGAGTTGCAAAATTATCAATTGAAGTGCTCCAATCAAGTTTCTCCGACATATATTTTTCTATAGAAATCAGAGCCAATCCATTCAACCTTTCTTATGACATCGTCGACCGTAGGTAAGATTTGATCAACTTCAACTTTGAAAAATTTCTCAAAGTAATTGCAACTGTAATTGGAATAGTCAATAATACTTTATGTGCAATCCAAGAATTTGGAAAATAAAAACTTAACCTTTTTATAAAATCAAATGCTTTAATTGTCTTTTTTGTTCCTCTTGGTATAGTTTCTTTTAAGACTTGTAGCTCTAAAAATAATTATGTTCCATCAATTTCGGAAACCGTGTCGTATTTGAGGAGATCTTACATTATTTTGAAAAATGTGACAGTTGACCCATGAGTTAAAAATTGGTTGTTTGGATTGGGCTTAGCGGAGCCTGTCATGCATGCACATGAGCCCAACAATAATTTAATAATAAAATAAACCAGTTTCTGAGTATAGAAACAAATTATTGTATAACATATATAAATTGATATTATAAGTGCGTGTGTTTATTGCCAATTTTTTTTCTTAAAGTTATTTATTACCATAAATTTACATGATATATAAGTATGTATTGTCTTTTAATTATGGAAATTATGGCCTGAATGTTAGACATTTACTATTATATTTGCACTCTATGGTCCTAAATTTGAGGCTCTTCCAAATTTGGAGGCCCTAGGCAACCGAATAAACGAAAACTCAGAATTAGGTCTTGAAGATCCTTCTACGTCCTTGCGATTTGAACCTTGGATTAGTAGCCAGCCTTCTTCATTAATAACTTAAGAAAAGTGATACAGAAGATAGGCATCGGGGTCGATGGTACACATGTAGCACCAATTGACAGTAACCTATCTCTTCCTCGTCGGGTTATCCAAATCGGAATTTTCTCCAAAACCGTTGTCCAAGCAAAAAAAGGCCACCTTGAGAGGGGCCTTTGTGTGCCAAATGGCCTTCCATGGGAAGGCAGGGCCCGGAGCTTCCGAGATACAGCTAAACAGAGAACGAACATCGAATCTCCCATGAGAAGTGGGCCCCAGATGAGGGTATCTGTCCCACCTCCATCAATCTCCTGATGGTACAGCAGCTCCAAAAGACTATACACGTCGTCCAACTCCCAGTCCTGAAAATGTCTTGAAAAGCACACATCCCGAGTCATCTTCCCGCTATCAAGCCGATTACAGTTGGCAACCAAGGCATGTCTATCAAGAGCAATCCTGAAAAGCATAGGAAAGGAACAAGCCAGTGGACGATCGCCACACCAAATATTCTCCCAGAAATGAATGCCCCTGCCATCCCGAGCCTTGAAAATCTCTTTTAAATTCATTGAAATATATACTTACCAAAAAAAAAAAAAATTCATTGAAATATAGCATTTGACACTTGCTTCAATCCTCCCTGTTGGTTGTATCCCGACTTCAACTCCCCACTCTAGAACAGCCTGTTGCTGCTTCTTGATAACACCTGTCAGGTCTAGACCCAAAGTGTGAAAACATCAAGCCTGTAAGGATCCCATGGTGCCTTACAGTAAAGTGAAGTTGAGGCACAAATTCAAAAACCTCTTTGCATAATTTGCTCCTATTTGGAAGGCATCAATCCCTGTTGTTTTAAATCTTCACCTAAAGGATATTATCCTTCATTGTCATCCATGTGACAAAACCTCTATCATGGCCACCTATTTGAAATCTTCCTCTTGATGTTACTTTTATATATACTCTCATACAATGTTGTCCATTATTTGGTTGAAGTTATAAAGCCTTTTTCATATTGCCTCCTCCTTTCACTTTGTGCTTCTTCCTTTTTTAATCTTAACTAGTTGTATGTGCATGTTAAATCACCACCTTTTGTTAACTCAGTTGATGGTGCTAAACATGACATGGAAATTGAAGTTAGTGTTCTTTGATGCATAATCAGCCCTGTTTAGTTAGTTGTTGAGTTGAATTGTTATTATTTTGTAGTTTCAACAGTAATATTTTCCTCTTCTGTTCTCTTTCTTATTATTAATGCTGCCCAGAGTTCAGGCAAATTGAATGTTATGCCCGTCAAGTGCCAATCAATTGTTATATATACTGATGTCCTTTTTCCATTGTTCTGTGACAGGGTCATCAGTATGAGACGGTGTCGGGCTTCATTTGTGAGGCATTTGGATATATCCCAAGAACAGGTGAGACCGTAAAAGTGATACTTGAAAGGGCAAATCCAGTGGAGCGTGATGAATATACTGAATCGGAATCTGATCGCCAAGATCAGAAAGAAAAGCAACAAATTTTTAAGCTCGAGGTACGAATTTCATTCTTTGCCGAGATGTTGTTCTGTAAAAAGTTCCATTAAAGAAGGTGGTTATTAATTATATTTATAAAATTGATTTAAGTTTTAATTTGTTTTAAGGAATCCTTGTAGAGTAGGGGTGACTAGGAAGTGAAAATCTTTTAGGGCCTGTTCACTAACAGGAATAATTCCTAATCTCTACTTTCAATTCCTAAAAGGATTAAAAGTGCAAATCATATTTTTTAATATAATTTTACTTTTCATCTTTTAGAAAGTACTTTCACATTTAATAAAGGAAAAATAAAGTGAGGATTTGGTACTTACTTTATACACTGTTCACAGAAAATATTTTCTGCACTGTTCACAACCGTCTTATTTTAGCCCATCTCATATCACCCCTCATGCTCACACTGCTGTTGCAAGAAGGAGGAGGCAAATCGAGAAGCCGCCATCACCGACAGTGCGCCCGATAAAGGCAACCGCCATGGCAACAAGGTCATCACCGACCCTCGGTTCGCATCCGATGAGAGGAGAGAGAAAATATAAACACTCTCTCTCTACTGGGCTTGTCAACCCCTTGATTTGGGGATCCATGAATTGTGAGTCCCAGCCAATCCTGATCATCAATCACACCATTAGCAGTGACTCAGAAGAATCAAGCCAAAACCCAATTCAGAAAATAATAGAATAGTTAGAGAGAGCGAACCGATGATCATCAGGACCTTGATTGGTCCGCAACTGTATGTTCTGTAGAAAATATTGATTCCATTGCAGCTCCCCACTGCATCTCCACTGTTTCGCTGAATTCTAGAGAAACGAAGACAGAGTATTAGAGAGAGAAAGTTGAGGACGTTGAACTGTGTGAATCCAGATTCTAGAATCGAATGGAAAAGAAGGAGATGCAAAAATTCAGGAAAAAATACCTTTTGATTTGTTTTTGAATGCACATCTTGTTTCTTCTCCACAATTCTCCAAACGACACTTTAATTCCAATTGGGCAACTAAGGTTGCCGGAGATTGTTGAGTAGATTGTTGGGTTTCTGTGCGTGTCGGTTTGGTAATTGTTGGGTTTCTGTGGAATTGTTGTGTACATCTCTCTCAGTTACCATTTCTTACACAGGATAATAAAAAAATTAAAATTAAAATTAAAAATATTAACCTTACTTTCTATGCTTTTACTTTCAAAACATTAAAAGCAGAATAAATTATTAAACATCATTTCACTTTCTATTTCATCTCAAGAAATAATTTTACTTTGGAGATGGTGAAAGTTTTAGTGAACAGGCCCTTAGTGCTCTGAATGAGCTAAGCCCAAGACATCTTGTCTATTTAAAGTGAGATTTAAATTGTACTTATATTGTTATATATCCACAAGGGATATTGTATAGAAGTTACTTTATTCTTGTGGTGGGAAATTCATCCCTCTATTGTCCTCAAAATTTACTTTTGATGCTTGATTTATTTATTTATTTATATTTTTTAAAATTTTATTAAGGTTAAAATCATAAAACCCCCTTTTACTTTCAAAATTGTGTATTAAACCCCCCATTAGAATTAAATAACCCCCCGAACTAAAAAAAGTTGTCAAGTTGTCCCCATATTTGTGACCAACCCGTTAATTTGGTTGTGAAATTATAAAATTGACCTTACTATTTAATATTAAATTAAAAGCTGATATTTATTACTTTAAAATTACGAAAATACCCCTTTAAATGATCTAAGTGGTCTTCTTCCTCCTCTTTAGGGCTGCAAATAAACCAAGCTATTCAACAGCTCGGGCTTGGCTCATTAAAAGCTCGGCTCGGGCTCATTCGTTTAGTAAACGAGCCGAGCTCGAGCTCATTTTTCAAGCTCACTTAATAAACGAGCTGAGCTTGAGCAATGATGAGCTCGGCTCGCCAAGCTCGTGAATAGGCTCGTTTAGTTAATAAGGCCTACATTTCAAATTTTGCTACTAAAATTTAGCCCAAACACTAAAAAGTTTTTAGAGGTCCATGTAGTAGTTTGGTTTTATAAAATTAAACTATATCCATTCTTGAAGCCCATAAGCTAATAAGCTCAATAACCTATACAATTTATCATAGCTGTTGGATTACACATGTTATAACCAATTAACTATAACAAAGGAAAAGAAACCCCTAAGTTCCTAACTCTTGTTGAAGACGGCAACCATAGGAGACCTCTCAATCCGTCCATCTCAGATTCATGTTGGCAGCTACTCTACTAGCGACCGATGTGAAAATCTTACTCCAACAACTATTGCAAGTTTATTACTATCTCCCTCTCTCAACCATTTTTATTAATCTCAATCCGTCCATCTCAGATTCATGCTCTTTATCTTGACAACCGTTTTTTTTCTTCTTCTTTTCATGGAGTTATAAGAGGATGAAAAAAACTTTGGGGCTAGAGTGCTTAGGAAGAATTAGAAAAGAAAAAAGGGTTTAACCCGATGATTGAGAAACTGATTCCATCCTTTGTAATGCGATCGAAGAGTTGAGGGATTTGCAGAGATGTAGAAGATTAAGAGGCTTGATTTCTGCAATGCAGCTTGAGCCGAACCGAGCTGAGCCCGAGCTTGTCCAAATATTGGCGAGCCAAGCCCAAGCTTGGCTAAGTTGAGCTCGCCCGAGCCTGAGCAGCCTTCTGAACCTGGCGAGCCGATCCCGAGCAGGCCAAAGATCGGCTTGGCTCATTTGCAGCCCTACTCCTCTTCACCCGCTCTCTCTCTAAAACTAGACCCATCACCACCAACAACTAGTTGCAGCACGGATTCCACCACAACCTACCACCCAACACACCCAAACCTACCAACGGCCAGTGGCCTAGCGGTACCAGTTTCTTACTTCCCAAAGGGAGGTCAGGGGTTCAAATCTCAGAAGAGACAAGTGTGTGTGAGTACCAATTAGGAAAAAAACCAACACACCCAAACCAAAACTAGACCCTTCTCTACAAACAATCAGTTGCAGCACGGATTCCACCACCTACTACCCATCACCCAAACCAAAACTAGACCCATCACCACCAACAACTAGGGCTGCAAATGAACTGAGCTGTTCTTGAACAGCTTGGGCTCAACTCGTTAAAAGCTCGGCTCGGGCTCATTCGTTAAGTAAACGAGCCAAGCTTAAGCCCATTTTTCAGGCTCATTTAGTAAATGAGCTGAGCTTGAACAATGATAAGCTAGGCTCGTGAGCTCATGAACAGGATCGTTTACATAAAATTCAATTTTTTATATTAAAAAACTTAGCCCATCTATATAAAGTTTAATCCAAGTACATATTAATTTTTTAAGTAGCCCAATTAATATTTTAGTGTTTGGAAGCCCATCTTACAAATGAAGTCCATTTAACTAAGGGTAAAGTGCATAAAACCCCACTGAACTTTCTTCTCTTTATCCCCCTTGAACTATTATTTGGACAGTTAACCCGCTAAACTATTTCGATTTTTGCAAAATACCTACTCCGTCAAACTTTCCGTTCATTCAATACTGAGATTTCACCTTTGCAGGTCACGTGACCAACTCAATTTTTTTAAAAGACACTATCACCCTTATAACCCATATTTACAGGGTTAACTCGTTTTAAACCCTAGTCCATGTTCCCACCTTTGACAAACAATTCAAACCCTAATAAATTTCTCTCTCATTTCTGACTCTCTCTCCCTTCTAAGTTGAAGATCCATGTCAACTGAAATTAGAACACAACAACAACAATACTAGTCCCTATAGAAAGATATATGTATATGTGTGTGTGTGTGTATGAGCTAAAGATAACCATATATATACAGAGAGCACTAACCATTCTCTCTCGTTCGCTCCACATTTAGTTGATTAATTCTTCAACTCACTATTTCTACGGTTTAAATTGGAAAACCCCAATTCTGATTCTGTATTGTAGAGAGAAAAAACCCAATTTTGATTCTCTCTCATAGTTGTTAAAGGCTCAAGGCGCACAAAAGCACAAAGGCCTCTTAGAGCTTGAGGTGCAAGGCGAGGCACATGCCCTACTGAAGCAAGGCGCACGTTGGGAAAAAAAAAAAAAAAAAAAAAAAAAAAAAAACCCACCCAATAAAGATGCAACAGTATATATAAAGATGCAAAAGTCAACTAAATTAATTGCTTAAGTTCAATATTCAACATAAAGATGCCAAAGCCAACTAAATCAAGTACTTGAGTTCAACAGTGAATAATCAAACATATTAATATAAAAATGCAAAAGTCAACTAAGGAGAATTATGAGATAAAACTAAAACAAACATAGACATCATTTCTTCCTAAGAAGACAACAATTAGTTACAGGATTAAGTTTAAAACTAATTTTTTGTTTTTCAAATTTTCACTTGGAATCCTATTTGACCAATCAATTAAATTGAGAAAATGAAATGTTGAATAAAAAAAATTGAGATTGAATATTACTCTCACTTTTGATTTCAAACATTGTTTCAAAGTAAAATTAAGTAGTCTACTACTCTACTGTGAAATTTTCTAAACTTTCAAATACACAAAGTTTAAATTTTAAAAACCAATTATGGGACATCCAATGATTTATGTACAGGACCATTCATGTTGGAGGTCATAGAGAGGCAATATAAAAAATGAGATTGATTCTAATAAATTAATAATTAAACAACCAGTTTCAGAGAAGACAATTTTGGAAAACAAAAAAGTAATTGCTCTGTTTTCATTTTATCAACTCCAATAACATAAAAATAGTGTTTTTAATAAGAAAATCTAGCAAAATTAATGAAGCATTGAAGCCAGTTATATAAGGGTCTCTAGAATTTTGCTTCTAAAGAGACGTGGCAGCAAAAGAAAAGGCCAGTTATATAAGGGAAGTTATGTAACTTATGTCTCTACGTGGCAGCAAAAGAAAAGGAGGAGGAAAAGGTTGAAGTTGAAAAAAGAGAGAGAAAAGAAGATTATTCTGCCGAGAGAACAAGAAGAAGAAGAAGAAGAAGAAGAAGAGAGAAAAAAAGAGAGAGAAGAAGGAGACGCTGAGAAGGACTTACCTGGAATCGCAAGCTTCCTCTGTCGACAGAATCACAAACCCTTTGCTTCAAAGTTTCTCAGCCCTAGCCCCTTGGCCCCCTCCTCTTCGATTCACTTCACTTTTACACTTTCCTTTTGCTTTTGCTTTTGCTTTTATTTTATTCTTTTTCTTTTTGTAAAGTTGCTAAAACAGTAATAATAAACAATAAACAAATAGCAAATAGTAACAAATAAAGGAGGTGCACCTTTTCTACGCCTGGGGCCTCTCGCCTCTTATGTAAAGGCGCTCGCCTGTTCAAAGACCACCGCTAGGGGCCTACACAAGCACATGACTTGCGCCTATAGGCGCCTTGCGCCTCAGGCGTGCGCCTTTGGTGCTTTTGACAACTATGTTCTCTCTTGAACAGTTTATCCCCACATTCTTTGATGGAATTGAAGATGATGATTGATAACTATTTTTTAATGCGATGGAACTGTTGCCTATCTTTTAGAGTTTGTTTTGCTGACTAATTCAAGGAAGGAAGGAAGACAGAGAACAGAGCTTCAATGGAGGGAAAAAATATAAAGTGTATGTGTTGAGCTCAAAAAGTTATTTCTCTCTCTACAGAGAGAGTTTTTGAGCTTTTCTGGAACCCAATCAAAGAACTCCGAATGGAACGTGATCGGAAAGGGTCTGGTGAGCCATGGAATAAGGATCCAACATTCAGCTACAAAAGTAGCAAAGATATTGAGATCTAGGAGCTTGACGATGATGAGAATGAAGAAAAATGAGACAGAGACCCATAACCCAACTTTCTGTATATTACTAATTACTCCTTCACTCTATTATATCAATCAAACCCATCACCATCCATGATTCTTTGACACCATTTTCTTTTTTAAGTTTGTTATTTTTGCCCCTCCCTATCCATCCAAACCCAATAGATAAATTCTTGGAGAACTCTTGCAGTAGATCATGTGCAAATGAAGGGATTGTATGGCGATAGAAATCAATATAACCAAACAATTGTGATAAGGTTGAAGATGAAATCAACCGCTGAGTTTGGAATTAAGAATGAAGATGATTTCAATGGCCGAGTTTGGATCAAACAACGATGAAGCGCAAGTTAGCAAGGAATGATTCAGTCTATATATATATATATATATATATATTTATATTTATAATGCTGTGAGAGCTTCATGCATATAACTGAAAGGAAGGATTGTTTGCCGTGAGAAATAAATATAACCAACAGTATAGTATTATGAACTTATGATGTGATGTCTTTTTTTAATTGGTCAATAAGATTGCCTTGTCACGTCAGCATATTAAGTTGGAAAATAAAAGAGTAGCTGCCCTTCACCTTAAGGGCAAAAAAGTAAATTACTTTTTTTCTGTTAACAATGCTGACGGATTGTCCTAGAATGCAACAATTCTATAGTTTAGGGGGTTATTTTTAGTTTAGGGGGGTTTATTGCAATTGGGTCATAGTTCAAGGGGGTTTAATGCACTTAACCCTTTAACAAAATAATCGAATGGCTCAAGTCATGATTTCATCTAAGCCATTAGATTAGTTGGATACATGTACATTGTTAGATAATAAAACCCTAAACAGCCGCAAGAAGACATGAAGAAGAATGCTTCTGTCTACAACTCCTCTAGCCATTGCACACCTCCCATCAACTCCACGGGTGAGGCTAAGAGCAGCCGCAGGAAGACACGGGTACAGATTTGAATAAGGTGGTAGTGAATATTTTATTTTGTGGTCAGATACGGCTGTGATACGTTTTGGACACTTTAAGGATACATCCGGGTATTTTGTAATATTTTTTTTTAGAAAAATAGAATTCAATGCAATTTAAAATATATTATGAGTTAATTTGAAAAATAATATAAAATTTAAGAAAATAAAAATAACAAACATCTAGTTCTAAACTCCAAATTATTGATAAAATATTATATATATAATATTATATATTATTTTTTGACATATCCATGCCGTACCCGTGTCCTATATTTTTTAAATTAGTGGTATCGCTGTGTCTGTATCGTATCTTACCCATATCCAGTATCCATGCTTCCTTGGTTTTCAATAATAAAAAAGAACATTTTTATGTAAATAATGGAAGTAGATCTGGAAGAGGGTTGAGCACTTTGCTAGTTTCCACATCGTTGGTCTGTTGGTCCCTGTCAAAAATCTGAGCAATTGCACATTTGCACTCAAGATAATAAATTCAGCTTCTGAGGTAAATTCCACCACCCTTTTCTTTCCTCTCTCAAACTTTCGCTTTCTATTTCTTAATTCAAGCACTCTGAGTCTCTGGCCCTTCGATTCCCTCTTTTTAGAGATTGAAATTTAGAGGCCTTTACAGTCTCTCTACAAAATTGAAATGGTTCAAACCCTAAAATGGTTGAATGATTGCAGGTGTGCCATTTGTGGTGCATTTCATGTTTTATTATGAAGTCAATGCATCAAAATGGTAGATCATACTGCATTATTGGAAAGACATAAAGTTTTGGTTTGATTAATGCAAGGAGATCCAAGTGAACTACGGCTATGCAAACGAAGATTGCTTTGGAGATTTTGAGACCCAGAAAGACTGAAAAGTTTCACTCAGTGATAACATAAGTTGCATTCTTAGATTGAGCTGGTAAAATGAGCTTAATTAGCTATTGTATTGGTGGTTTATCATTTGTAATATTAGCAGAGTCAACATATAAGATATTGGTGAAAACCTACAGCTCAACTATTTTCGTTATCATTACTGGGTTCACATTGTTGAATGAATCAAACTTCATGTGTAACCAGTGTTGCTCCATTTTTTGCATAAAAGAGAACTTTTTTTTGACTAGTACTTGCATAAGGGAGAACTTGGAAGCTTATAGCCCTCCCCTTTGAGCCCAACCTATGCTTTTCCTAAATCTTTTCAATTATTTGGCAGAGATGAAGTCAGGAAAAAAGAAGAAGAAGAGAATATACATCTCTCTCTCTCTCTCTCTCTCTCTCTCTATATATATATATATATATATATTGATTAGCAGTTTATTTGACACATAACTTACCAACATAATATTGTTTATGGTGCAGATTTTAGCAGGAAATGCCAGAAAGGTTAGTGCCATTCGATTTGAAAGTGTTAACCCTGATGATGCAACAATGGAGACCAAGGAAGTAACACGCTTATTTCCCAAAATCATGAAAAGGAAATGGAACAGCAATGATGATCCGAATAGGACTGGCTATGATGGTGTTCCATTTGAAAATGGAACAGAGGATGAGCTCTCAGATGGCCATGTAATTGAATATGAAGTTGGTCATGAACAAGCCAGTCAACTGTAGTTACATTACTCAGTTTTCCCATTCTTAAAAAACCTACTAGGAGGTAAAATATTGTAAGCTTAGCAAAAAGGGGATAAACAAATGAACATGTAAATTTTTTTTATAGACAGATGTATCAACATCCGAGGCATCTGGAGGGAGCGGATCATAGCATGTGGTTGGATTTGACTTGTTGATATTCAGAGAACAGTAGCTGTTGGAGTTTTCTCCTCTCATCGTCTTTGCTCTATAAGATCGTCTGATTGCTCTTGCAGAAGAGCAACGGAGGAATGAATGACGAAGGGGTCGCTGTTCTGCCTACTCAGTTGCAGTGCCTTGAACGGCAGTACCTGAATATGCTCCAAGAGGGTGGGTCAATCAGCAGCTGATCTGCAATGTCCAAAAGAGAGATTTTATTCGGCTAAAAAAAAAACTTTCAAATGATAAATGGTGAGATCATTTATTTTTCGTTCTTCTTTTCTCTCCTCTGTGTAGCTCAGGGAGAAACAGGGATGTGCGTAGAACAATGATTGGAAAGGGGAGTTTTTGGAGTTGTACTCTCTCTCTCTAACCTTCGTCGTCTTTGGTTTATGTGCGCTCTCTCTCTCTCTCTCTCTCTCTCTCTCCACTACAGACTATAGTACCTGAGGATTCTGGTTTTCAATATATGACAAAGCCTTTCATCAAATTGCAAATTTGTCGATGAAAATATTTGAACTTGTAACGTTTTAGTTAAGAAAATGTAATTTAGGTTAGGTTACCTCAAATCTCAAGTTAAGCTTAACTCCACCTGAGTTTAGGTTGGGATATTTCAACCAAAGCCAGACCAGAATTTTCAATATATATATATATATATTTTCTTTGTGTCTTGGGGACTTCACTTCGGAAATTTGAAAAGTTATCATTAGGTTACAGCTTTTTTGGTTTTCAGATTTAAAAAACAAAATTATAGAAGAGACTTTACATAGCTTGAAATCCAAACTTTAGAATACTTATCAAAAAAAAAAAAAAAAAAAATTCCGACCTTTAGAATCGAAATAAAAGCATTATACTGTTCTAACTTCGTAAATAGGGCAATAATGATAATAAAGATTTCAAAAAAATGAAAACAAAAAATCTCTCTTCTTTTTTTATTACTTTTAAAGATTTACGAACCGGCCTGCATTTGAAATTTCTGCAAGCTATAGTTTCGGCGTAAAACAATTTCAATTCTCAGAAAACAAGATCTTATTTTTTGTCCAATTTGCTTTTTTGACATTCATGTAGTATGGGTAAAAAGGAAAAATATATTTTATTTGGAATTTTTTTTTAAATCACCTAGGTCCCTTGTTCAAATAGTCATTTGAATTCTTTGAAAAAGGAGAAAAACAAATTCAAAACATTAGTTTCAACTTTTATTATTGTACACAAAACGACTCATAAACAAGAAATTGACACACCTTACAAGTCAAGTTAAATTCTAGAAGAAATTTTGACGCGTACTCACCAATCAAACATATATTTGTTTTAGTTGCTGTAATGCTATGTTACTGTAGTAGCACTCAAAAAACCTTTTTTCCTTATGGAGCTGGAATATTACTTGAAAGTGGCCATGTTAATGAAATCAACAAATAAAGTCCTCTACCTTTTGGGAAAAAGAAGAAAAAAAAAAAAAACAAAAAAAGAAAGAGCAAAAAGGTCTTCAATCCCAAATAAATGGGGTTAGTTGTGGAGTCGTATATTACTGGTACTCTTGCCCTTCTAGTGTAAAGAAAAAAACAGTAGAGAAGAAAATTCGAGTTTAGTTTGCTTTTTGTCCTTGAGCAAATGCAAAGATACAAAAACAAATCAACAATTCAACCGAATAATACGTAGCAAAAAACATAAAAATTTACTTACTTCGACAAAAAGTCTAAGTCAATCGTAAAAATTTGGAAATCCATCTCTCTAAAATGTGACTAGAGAGAAAAACTGATCAATTTTTTTAATTTCTTTTTTGGAATATCAATATCGAGTCTGCATTGACAATTCCTCTCACTACCATTTCTTTATTTCTCTTCCGCCATGTTTTTTTTTTTTTTTTTTTTTTTTATATTTTTTGTTTTTTCCCCCTTCCAACGTGCCTTTGTAACTTTGAGCTCAAATATCAAAGAACAAGTGGCTCATCGTCATCAGATTCATATTTCTCAAAAAGAGGTTATGAGTTCATCAGATTCATATTTCTCAAAAAGAGGTTATGAGTTCATAGATTCAATTCTCATTGAACTCACGTAGTGTGTAAGTGAATTGCTTTACCTTTAAAAAAAAAAAAAAAAAAAAAAAAAAAAAGAAAAAAACTTTGACCTCAAATTCAAATATTTGTGACATAATTTAATCCAAACTCTTAAACCAACAAATTAAACTCAACTAAAAAATAATAATAATAAAAAGGAATTAAATAAATAAAAAAATAATAATTTCCTCCAGATATCTTATCTGTTCTTGCCTTACTTGGCACTTGAATTACCCAATCTTATGTCAAAATCCATTATTTCACAACTAAATAAATAATACAAACACTTTAGTTGATGGTACTAGCAACATAAACGCATGCATTACTTTTCCACCATAACCAACTAATTGAAGTATCTTTGTTTTGCTGTTTAATAAATAACTAACTAATTAAGACTAGTAATTAATTAATCTTTTCTTCTTGATCCTACTATTAAAATAAGTAAATGTGTAGCAAAGATTGACCAATGTAACAGTCACCAGAGGCTTAATATAATGATATAGTGCTGATCATATATAGTATCAGCACACCATCTACATTCTTAAAAAATTTGCATAATGGTACGCCGCCAGAAATATGGATTAAGATATAGTTATTTAGTAAGACCACTTTAATTCTTATATGATTACAAATTTACTATATATATATATATATATATATATATATATATATATATATGTATGATAAAGTTTTCATATGATTGCACTACATCTGAGTAATCATAGTATCTCCTGTGTACTTTTCAAAGGGAGAGACGAGTGGCTGTTCCGGCTGAATAATTAATTCCAAATTTCCAATCTTCACTGTACACACACGTATCTGAGTTCACGGTGGATTTAGAATATTCGAAGTGGATGGGCAATTTTTCCTTGCACCTCCCCAAGTCATTCCTGCAAGGAACTTACCGCGTAATATATATATATATATATATATATATATGCACATACAATTCTTCCTTGCACGTACTATTTTAAATTAGCTAGCTTTCATATCTTACATTTCACATTACTTGAAAGGAAAAGTTGCATACCATGAGACTGGTGGATGTGAATGAGATATCAGAGTCAATTTTAGTCAGAAATGACCCACGTACAGTGTAATGAGTTATATGCACCAGTTACAACTTACATAGTTCTTTATTCTTTTATGGTTTTGTATTGCTTGTGATTTACAGTCCATAGCTCTCTTCTTGTACGAGGCATGCCCCTCGTATTCTTGTAAATTGGTTTTTGATATATAAAATTTTCCTTTCTTACTAATATATATATACAGACACACACACATCTATGAGTTTACACTTAGTGCAACAAATTTGGCTAGTTTCTTCCATGTATGTGTGTGTGTTTACACATGTATTGAGTTATTGAGAGGACATGATGAATAATGTAATTTGGACTTGTGTGTATATAGGAGAGTGTAAACAAAGAACACGCACGATGTGTTCCCTATTTGATGTTCATGAAATGTTCACAACACATAATAAATTGTCTCGCAAAACATATATATAAATGACGGATATCACTTGGACTAAATTACGGTCATGATCATGTAAGATATAAAATTATTTTAGCTACACACACATACCCACACTGATATATTTTAATACTTAATTAGTTTGAATATTCAACTCCTAAAGTTTGAATATTGCAATGTGACAGTAGAAAAAATTAATAAAATTGAATTCTGGTCCATGTGAAATTGAAACTTTCTTTTCCTTGTGAGCAACCCTTCAAATATTCAAAAGGATGGTGTGTTGAATGGTAAAAAGGTTCCATACTAATTTGGAATTGAAATGTAATTGCGCAACGCAAATGACAAATCCAAGCTTCTTCAATGCATCTTCAAAAACAATTTTGCTTTCAGTCAACATCTAAGGATAGACGCCACTTTTTTTCCTGGAAAATATACCACCACTTTCCTTTTACTTAAATGAGAATAATGATGAGAATAATGGTTGCTCATCTCTTAATTTCCATTCAATTTACTTTTCAAAGTATTACTACTTTTTCTAGAATTTTGAGTTAGGTATATATACACACTATCATTAAAGTGTAGGTTATGTTCGGTTATACAGAATCAAAATTAAAGTTTTAAAATAGGAATTCAAGAAATTAGAGAAAAGCAATTCAAAAAATTAAATTAAAATTTTCATTAATTCTATCAATTTCAATTTTATACATTTGAACATAGCCAAAATATATTATTAATACCAAAAGAAAGTAAACATGACCAAAAAAAGATAAACTCAGTACGAAACTCCATCATTGCATGATACAAATTTTTTTGTACTAATTTTCAGTTCAATGTAAACCTAAACATACGAAAGATGATTATGAGAAATAACAAATTCCTTATACCAAATACGTAGTAACATAGATCATTGTCTAACGGACATCTAATGATTCTAACTTAGTGATATAAATTTCTCAAGCTGATGAGTTTGTTCATTTATTTATTTATTTTTATCAAGATTAAAGTTTCGAGCTTATTTTATTTTATTTTATGATCCAGTTTAAATTCTTTTGAACTTAAAATTTAAAAATTGATCGAATGTGAATGTTCAATTTAAAAGATTTGTTCCAGTTTCGGTAAATATATAAAAAATATTTAAAAAAATTATAAAATAGAACTATATCATGTTTATTTAAGTTCTATTCCATTTCAATTCCCGTAATTTGTAATTTGGATTATTTATTGACTACGTACAAGAGTGTTCGAGCCTCAATTGATATGATATATATATACACACACACACATATATAATGGGGGTGTATTACTTAAACTTTTGAAGGAAAAAAATAAAATAAAAAATAGATACTGGTGGTGAAATGTAAAATAGAGGAATTTTGATTAGAGGAAGACAGTGTAAAAGTGGTGGAAAGTATAGATATAAAAAGGTATGAGGACTAAAAATAGATTGGACACTCTGATTAGTGGTGGTAGAAATGTAATTTACAAAACGTAAAAGTATGTTAAAGAAAAAGAATAAAGAAATATGTGACGTGTGTGCATTGGTTTCTAATTTTCTATATAAATAATGTAGAGAGTATGTGTACTAAATGCAAATAGCGGAATCTTCAAAAAGTTTTATTTTTATAGTATTACTAGTACAGTACTTTAATAATATTTGTGGTAAGTATAATATACCAAGATGCCGCCGAAATTTAACTATCATACCGACGTCAACACGGATCCTGCCTATTACGTCAGCATCGGAATGCTAAACAGCAATATCTCTCTGTGTGTGGGTAGATATATCTCGTAAAGTGCGAAAAAAAAAAAAAAAAAAAAAAAAAAATTTCTCCCCCCTACTATC